GCATAATTTCACATTTTGAAACCCTTTTTAAAAAATGCATGCAGTTTTTTCAGTATAATAATTTAAATTAGTTTTCCAAGGAGTAAAATGCATGTGCTCACTTACTTTGGGGAAAATGTGGGATTAAATGAGTTAACATGGTGACTTGATTCTGCAATCAAATGCACAGGTCTCAGGATTATTAAACAATGTACCAGTAAAATAGCTAATATGTGACAAAAGAAATAGAAATATTTAATAAATCTTACATTTATATATAAAAAATATCTATGTGCCTGATATAACTATGAAAAATTAAATGCACTATATAATAACCTGCAAATATGCGGACTATATAAATAAAATATATCACATTATTTAAGAGATTAAGAGATTTTTTTTCTTTTTTGCAGAATATATATTTAATTCTAAAAAACGAATTTAAAAATGTCAAGACACATTCATGGAGTTGGTCAGTAAAAGATCGTTTTAATGTTTTCAAATTCAAACTGGGGGTACACTTTTATATACACCATGTTAAATGAAACCGTAGAACAATAAGAAAAGGCTCAAGTCCTGCTAATCTTGTATGACTGTACATAAAAAGCAAAAGTACCAAAATTATAGCTGGAAAATTACAAACTGCCGATTGACAAGTCATCATACTGCAATATGTAAGACTGTGCTGCTACCTGTAATCAATCACGATTCTCTGACGGCTCACTATCTGGATACATTTTCAAGTATTTCTCCACCATGCTGTCCAAATCATGCTTAATGGCACAGTTAATAAAGAACAGAGCCATGCTCTTGTTTCTGTGATGCACAGGTGTATCTTCTAGGTATGTTGTCAGTCGTTGTTTCGCAGTGCTGCATTTGTCATTTGTCAAAGCAAAGACGGGCAAATTGTACAGGACTTTCAGGAGAGCACACACGTTGGGGAAGAACTTCACATCGGAGAGCTGAAGCGTCTCGTAGATGGTCGATGGCAATACAACATCTTTAGTGCCATGTTTCCATTTGATCTTCCAGCAGTGCAATTCAGCAGGAAAGGTGTCTGGGTTCAGCAAGTCATCTTTATAAATGTCTGCACTGGTCTCCTCTGCGGTGTTGAACTTCAACAGTCCCATGATGGCAGGGACAAGTGACAAGGACTTCAGGGCCTTCAGATGATTTTCAGAGAAAAGATCAGACAGCTCCTTAATCACATGGCTGACCACTGGAATGGTGACTTGCTCTTTATAGTAGGTCTCAGGTTGGATTTCCTCACCAGGGGTTGGTCGTTTTCTAAAGTACAGTCTGGGTACTTTCACTGGGATTTCAAGAGCTGCAGCCAAGTTAATGGCTTCCTCAAACCAGAACTCATGGTAGACCTCGATATTCTCGTAAACTTCATTCAGCGAATGCAGAACCGCAGTTAGACTGCTAGATGCGAAGAAGACCTCGTTTGTTTGCCCTTGCAGATTCTTACCAAAGGCTCTGGAGAAGGAAAGTGTGTTCTTCAGCACCACTAATGTCATGACAAATTCAAAATCGGCCAAAGCCTCGGATATGACAAAGGCGTTGTGTGCTACTTCATCGCTCCATTTGTGATCTTCATTATCATGGACACTATCCATGCAAAGCAGCAGAGCCTCCAGGAGATCGACAGCAACTTCGAATGTATCATGCTGCTCTGTCCATTTCGAGTCACAGGCCTCTTTGAGGACATTGGCTTTTTCTTCGTTTCCCTGGTAGTAGATCGAAATAGCACTTTCCAGCTGATTTTGCAATAATGACGATTTACTGAAAAACGCATCCAGCTTTTTCAGGGTAGACATGACGAGATGCACGCCTGTGAAGGTCATTGTGTTTGCCAGGCAGATGTTCAGAGAGCAACTGGAGCAAGGGGTGAGAACCGCTAGCGGGTGTAACTCAGCTATTCTGGCCACCACTGCTTTGACCTTCATAGCGGACACACCAGAACACAAATACGCCTGTCCTCGGCAGTACTGCATGTCCAGGCCACATTTCTCGGTTACTTCAGCAATAAGCCTCTCAGTGAAAGCCTCCACATCACCTTCAAAAAGCAGGAACCCGACAAATTCTTCCCTTAGGCAGTTGGTCTTGTCCACAAAACGTATGAACAATGGGAGAAGGCTCTCTCCGCCTACCTCAACCAGGCTGTCTACTACCAAAGAGAAGAAGCGTCCTTCTTTAACTTCAGCCAACAACTCCTCACGAACACAGTTTTCCATCACTTCCAGCATCTGCTGCAATTGAGTAGAGGAGCAGTGCTCGAGGTTTCCGGGCGACCCCTCGAACTTCTTTCTGAGGAATTCGTCACCTGCATTGATGCGGTACTCCAACAGTGCCTGGAAGTTGCTGGGAGTGAAGCTTTTGCTTCTGGGTTCTTTGTCGGAGTGCCCATGCAGAGGGATGTTCTGCGTGCCCATCATCACGACAACATCAAACAAAGACTTGAGATACTCTTTATTCAGTGTTTCCTCATCAATGACCTGAGGGCTGCTGTCAACCCCATCACCATTTTTGCTCTCACTGATCTCTTTAGCTGTTGCCTCAGTATTATCTTTCGTTGCCTCACTCTGGGAGTCCGCTGAGAATATACAAATAATATTTGTGTAAATTCAGTAATTATTTTGTTAATATATTCTATATATTAACATGTAAATATATAGAATGTGTCAAATAGCTTTATTACAACATTACTAAATAAAATTTGATTTTAAAAAAATCCATCCAAATTACAGATTTTGCAAGGCGGGTATGTAAATATGTGAGAAAATCACAAACAACTCACATATACTCTTCTTTACTTCAGGGGCATCCTTATTTTCTTTCTGTTAGAAACATACACTGAATGTGAATGATTTCCTAATGAATTTGGTATTTACACATAATTGGCTTTTACCTTTACTTTGAAATGTTAAGAGACAGGCATAATACAGTACAGTAACAACTCATCAATTAATATACTGAGCAGATCTTACCTCATTATTCGACCGTTTGAGGGAAGGATTGTCAAATATGGTTGGTATTGCATTATCCTTCAGTACAGTCCTGAAAGGGCTCTGGATAATAATCACAATAATGTGCAATGCAACATGTTAGAGATCACATGTTATTTATTGATGGAAAGTTGTGAGGCCAATCTGTTTTACCTGACTAAAACTTTTTACACAACAATTTCTAATTCTTGTATGATTATTCTACATGCAGTTTTTGGAATATTTATATTTTTACAGAAATTTATGTCACACCGCAGGACTATTTAAGTGAATCACAAAGTGAGCAGAAACAGCACCTAAAATACACACTTTATGTAAAACAACTTAATATATTTAAAAATACATTCAGTATAAAGGTATAGTACATTTTTACTAACTACAATGAGTACATATTCACATATGAACTACACAAAAAGAATAATAACAACTTACGGTTTTGGTTATCAAGTTAGGTTCAAAGTGCCTGGCACACAGTCTGTGATATTTGTTCAGATGGTCCGGCGTTTTCTCTTTAAGGTCTGAGCGACTGCAGTTTTCCACCCATTTCTTACACCTAGGGAATAAATATCTCATGAATGGAGGGCTGTTAGCATCTAACATAGCAGTTATCAATACAATGGTGTGAATATAGCATTATAATGCTATAATATAGTGCATATTATCTGTATCTTTTAGTTTTTACTGTAATATACGACGTTGTTTGTGTCTAGCTGCTAACGTTAATAGACAACATACACAATGGAATCAATATAGTTCATATCTATGACAGATAGTTACATTCACCACATACAATCAGAACTGCACTGTAAAAGCAAGCTGGGCTAACAGACAGATTTATCTTATTTGAACAATACAAATGCAAAGTAAAACTGGGCTGACTGAAAAACAACTCCTAGTTCTCTAACAATACTTTGTGCAGTATGTAAACACTATGTAACGTACGACAGATTCAACTTTGCATCTGATCTGCCAAGCGAGCTAACTGGCTCAGTTAGAGCTCTGCACACAACGGGAAATAAATGAAGTTAAATGAAGGTTAAACACGACGTCGTCTATCGTTTAGATGACAAAGAGTAAGCTCGGTAAGCAAAACGTGTGTAATTTACCTCTCTGGGTCCCGTGGAAACCTGAAGAACGCCAACACCGAATGAGTGCTGTTCCTGGAGCAGTTTAGCGCCGCGCAGAAATTAGGCATCGTGCGTTTACTTTGAGTCGAATCTTTAATAGTGAATCAAGTTCATTGGACTCAATGTGATGATACTCCGGTCGGAAAGTAAAAAAATATATAGTTTTAGAGACTAATAAAGTGGTAAATTGATCGGCACTCTAGTGCTTTGTGTGGCCTGGAGGAGAAGCGCGTTGGAGTTCCGTCTCCGTCCCACAATGCTTCGCTCGCGCACAGCGAGTTCAAATTCACAGCCAATCAGCATGCGCGTACAGGAAGAAATTGGCGGCAGCTAGGGGGTAACCGTGGATATATTAGAAAAATAAATTTTATGAGCAATATTAAAGTAATAGTTCAGCCAAGAATGATAGATGTGACATGTACTCACATTAAAGATTTACACTTTTTTGTTGAAACCAAAAGGAAAGGACTGTTTCAGTCACCCTTTACTTTGATTGCATTTCTTTCCCATACAGAAAAACTGAATGGTGACTGAAACGGTCATCCTGCCTGAAGTCATAAGGTTTGGAAAAACATGACTAAATAAACTACAATAGTCACGTTTTCATTAACCCTTAACTACACACACAGATAGTAAAACCAATTTTTGTTACACTGACACAATGAAACATTTATATTGCACTGATATATATTCTTTATTAAGATGTCTAACTAGTTCAGTGATCACAATTATGGTTAAAATACAGTGAATGCTCATCTTGCCTTTAAAAAGACATGGTCACTATTAAGGGATGAATGAAATCCTCTGTAGAAAATAACAAGTCTAGTTAATTAAACAAATGACTTTACTGTATGTTTAGAAAACGTTTTTCAAAACAAATTAACAACAAAACAAATCCTACTTTTTACAGCCATGTCATTTTTTTCAACTTCCAGGTTCACAAAATGAAAAATGCAGTGTTGTGTTAAAATGTTACAAAAAACTGAAAAAGCTCTTTATATATACACACACTGCATGAGCCTTGTTAGCATAGAAGATAACGTTTTATAATAGTGCCTATAAATCATTTTCTTTAAGCTGTGAAGCCATTGCAGTTAAGATATTACTCTGATTAGCAGCCCAATGCAACAAACACTTAAATATTAAAATAAACTATTTTTAATAGCATCACATAGAATACTTAAAATGTAGGTGTTACATATGCTATAAATGTCCAATTTGAAAGTGACATCAACATCAGCTTATAACGCTTAACGGAATACTTTTGCAAAGTCTTCAGGCTGATCTGGCAGGTCTTCCAGTAGTGCTGGGTTTTTTCTGTAGATGTAAGCATTTGCATCTGCATCTTCCATCTGCACCAGCTCAGCCAATGAGGAGACGCATGCATCATGGTCATTCAGCATACCTGGCAGACGAGAGGACTTACGTTGGATTCGTGTTGATCGCCGCACAGGCGTCAGAAACTTGAGGTCTTTGATGGTGCTTTTGCGTCGCGAGCCACTGCCTGGGGCCGTTTCGCATTCAATTATCTTTTTCACACTAAAGGATGAGAAAACCAAATGAACACTTGAACTTCTTACACATGTGTGTCTTTCTACGTACCGTTAAATTACCCCAAACACACCTTTGCAGATATGGAGTTGTTTTCACATTGTATTTCACAATGGATGCCCCCACCATCTCTGGAGTGGTGTTCTTCATCTCCTCATCACTGTCGTCATCTTCACTCGCAAATGGCTTCTTATCCTTAGGTTCCTGATCATCATCCTCATTCTTGATGACAGCCTTCTTAGTGTCTTCTTCATCTCCCAGTTCCTCATCTTCCAGAATTTCAAACACTTTATCTGTTTCCTGCTCCTCCATTTGCACTTCCATTCTTTTCTCTGCCACATCAGATTTGTCAAAATTTACACCTGTCGAGGATGGGCAAAAACATATGAGCAATTTATAAAAAAAACAACAACACATTATGACTCAAAAAGAGAATAAGTTTGTTTATTCTGGTAATATTAGTAATTAATTTGCAGTTCCTGCATAAAGAACCTGGATGAGACTCACCATCTTCACATGATGAGAGCGTCTCCATTGCCTCCAATTTATCACACAAGTTCAACACCAACTGCATATTGCATATAAGCAAAGCAGAAATTACAATTAAAAAATGCCAATATACATCAGTGAATATCTATCTGTCTGCTTATCTATCAGTTTCACAAATTAGTGTCTATTATGATTCTTACCGACTCCATCCTTATCTCTAGGTCGACTGGCAAATCCATATCACTGTTGTCCAGCAAGTCTAGTGTGGTATTCATAATACTGCTTGATCTCCTAGAACACACTGTTTTATTGTCAGGGACTTCGATATCATTAGTTTGGTTGTCAGGCTTCAATGCAGCGGTTGGTTTAACAGCCTCAGTCTGGACGGCATGCTCAGATTGGGAACCAATTGTGGCTTTGGGTCCTGTTTTAGGCTGTGGAGCTGGTTTTGGTTTTAGTGAAAAGGTTGATGACTTTTTCAGAGCTTTTCCCTTAGATGCCAGCCACTCTGCAAGCTTTGCTCTGAAAGTACAGTATAAATAAAACATAAGACAATCACATCAATATATCATCTTCTATCTGCAGATTGTCACACTTGTCCAGGTAAAACTTAAATACTAAAATACATACATTATTGTTCAAAAGTTTGGTGTCTGTAAGATTTTCTAATGTTTTTGGAAAAAAGTCTCAAGCTCAACAAGGCTGAATTTATTTGCTTAAAAAATGCAGTAAAACAGTAATATTGTGAAATAATATAACCATTTAAAATAACTTTTTTTATTTTAATTTAGTTTAAAATGTAATTTTTTTTGTGTGTTGGCAAAGCTGAATTTTCAGCAACATAACTCCATTTTTCAGTGTCACATGATTTGACTTCAGAAATCATTCTAATATGCTGCTTGGATGCTCAAGAAAATATTTTTCGACACATTTTTAAAATTACAGTCACTGTTTAAAACAGTTGTGTAGAATTGTATTTTTTTGGAAAGCGTGATACATTTTTTATCAATATTCTTTGATGAATAATTTTTTGAAACATACTTTTGATCAATTTAATATATCTTGTCTTATTAATAATAAAAAATTTAATAAAATAATCTTACTTACCCCAAACTTTTCAATGGTAGTGTATACAACTCACCTTCTCTCTTCAGCCGTTTCTATTTGCATTTTGTACTGGCTGACTGTACTTGTGACAGGCCTGCGGACTTTCTGTTCAGTGGTAGCTGTTTTGGGTTTCTCCACCTGCACAGTCATGTCTTTCTTCTTTAAAGCGCTGGGTTTGCTGATGGCCGAGCGCCCTGTAGCTAGAGGGGCAGACCTGGGAGGAGCACAAACACCTGCTTGGGAGACAGTACCTGGGAACTTTTGAGGTATCCGTTTATGGGAAACGGACTTCTGGACTGGTTTTTCAGTGGCATTCAGCTGGATATCAGAGACAGATTTCGGTCTAGATGACAAAGCAGAGTTTACTCTGGGTTTAGTGTACGCCGGCAGGGAAGTAACGGACTTGGACCGAACTTTAGACAATTCAGGTTTTGGTCTGTTCACATCTGGTTTTGAAATCGCTTTCTTTTCTGTGGTCTTCTCATCTTCACTGGGTTTTCTGAAACAGTTGATTTTAGACTGAACTACACGACCCTTATACGTGCCAGGTTTGGATTTCTGGATGGCAGAGACAGTAGAGGGTGGTTTATGAACTTCTTCCACAAGCTTCTTGTGTCTTACAGTCTGCTGTGTACGGAAGGCCTGGCTTAGTGTGTTATTACATTTGGTAGGATCAGCATTAGTTTTGGCCTTCGGCCTAACAACCTTTTCCTTCTCTCTTGTTACAGAGACATCCTCCTTAAGATCATTCTTTGACTGAAGGGGTGCAGATTTACATATCACTTTTTGTTTTGATACAATACTGCAGATGACTTGTTTTTTTGGACCACATACTGGTTTAGTGTTTTCCTTGTTGCTCTGAATAGAAAGAATAAAGGAGCAGAATTAAACAAGCTACATTGCAAGCAAACATACATCTTTCACACACGTACATGAGAGAAATAAAAGTTATAAATCTATGAAAGAGCTGGGCTGCTTCACAAAATGCAATGATCACCTTTCTCACCACCGACTCCATTCTGTGCAACTACCAGTGCAAACAAAGCTTTTCAAAGATGATGATCTTCCCCTGCAGAACATCACATTGTTATAACACTCAAACAAACAAAACAAGAAAAGATGTCTCACAAAAATCTGTCTATAGATCCTACATTCAATACAAGATATGTAAAATGTGCAAAAAATGCTATTTTTGTCGATTTTTATGATGAGTATATGACATGACAGATCTATTTATATATTTTATGATATATATTTGGTATCTGACGACACTAGATGCTTGGAAAAAAAATTGTTAGAAAATGGAAACGGTGGTTGCGCCCAGACAAACCTGAATAACGTTACCTCAGAACATGTCAAACAATGGTTTTATACCAGTTCTAAAAGATTCGGCGAGGAGTTTCCATTATAATAACACGCTTCAAAAAAGATCCAAATCATGATAATACTCACAAACCATTGGTAACAGTCACCAAAACAACATCTACTTACGTTATCTACGGCTTCTTGAATCAGTCAGGTAAGACCAGTATAAATGTGTCAGGTTACTGAATTTGAAGAACAATTATCTTCACATTCAAACACAGCGCACGCGCTTTCAAACAGATTTGAGTTCAGCGCGGCGAGCTGTCGGATTGGCGAAGACCGTTTGTGAGTCACTCTAGCCTACGAATCGTATTGGCTGTCTCTGATCACGTGATCAAAGTTGATATGATCGAGTTGGCCCCACCCCTTTTACTGAAAGCTAGGAGCTGCCTGATTTGAATCAAAATAAAATTCCTCTCATAACTGCTCAGTGGCAGTTTCAAAACTCTTGACGAGCCCAGTTGCCCTAAATTCCAGTCTAATGACATTAATGTTTTAGATAGCCCTAGTTTTTGCAAGAAAATCAATGTAATGCTTAATTTAATTTTTGATAGCTCTAGACACTGTAAGAAAATTTTAATTATGGGTTTTATGTGAGAAAAAACATAGTGTGTATTAACAGCATAGTTTATATATTTGATTTTGTCCGTATGAAATTATCTAAAAAAAAAAAAAAAATTAGATGAGAAGTAAATTTCATGGTTTTTGTTAGTATTTCTTAGGCCACAGAACATAAGACGATGACAAGCATGTCACTGAATATATTTATATTCTACACACGTGCATACCTACAGAATGCAGTTCAGAAGTTTGGACACAGATAATTTGTTCTCCCAAAAGGCCTTCACATGGTCAAGTGCATAGCAAATCACATTCAGCCACTAGATGGCAGAAGATTCCACAGTCTTGATGCTCTAAGATTATTAGAAACCCATTTGAACAGTATGACTGTGAAAAGTGCCTTCATTCCAGTGTGTGATAATGAGTAAATAATAAGGAGATTGTAGCTGTTAGGCTATGACTCCAACTGTGATCTCAAATTGCTTTCCTCTGGGGTTCCACTTTAATTAATGTAATATTTAATTCATGAGATATTCTGCTGACTGCATCATTATGTGAGGTCTGTCACACGTGTGGTTATTTCTGCTAGTTAATTATGACCTTGTCTAAATAATTTGACCTTGTCTATAAATGTGTGTCTTGACTCATTTCCTGGAATTCAGAGGCAAGAAGGAACCAATTTATCTGGTTGGATAATCAAGTAACTTTTTGGTTATTCTGTTTTAAGTAGATATGGACCATGAAAAGCATTGTTTTCTATGGTGGACAATAAAATGGACATGGATCTAGCTACTTAATATCTGCTAGCATTTACATGTTATTAAATGTAATATTAAAAGTTATTCAGTCCTGATGTTACAAGAGAAAAAAAAAATAAAAAAATTAAACAAGTAGGCTTCACATATTCCACTGACGACAACCATATGGCACTAACTAAACATCAAGCCAAAAACATTTAATCTATACAGTAAACCTAGTTGCATACTATCAAACGATTTCTATGAGGGCAAAATATTAATGCAAAAATCAAAATCTGACTCCCTGTGAGATGGTGACTCCCCTGCATCTCCCTATGAGGGTTATTATATGAAACACTCTAATAATCTACTCTGCAAACAACTACATCACGTTTAATCTAACGTGACAAGCAGATAAGCCTTTATGAAATGAATAACCAGCATTTTTAAACAAACCATCTGCACAGCTTTCACCTTCATTTGCTACAGAACTGCTGTTTGTGTACTGAACTCATCTTGAACTCAAATGTAACTTGAGTTCAAACTGCACATCAATAACAGCGCCTATTAAGGTCACAGAATATGATGGTCACAGTGTTCAGATTTTGGTAACCTTTAATACTGTCTTGTCAGATTTAGTGACCCTGCAAAAATAGAGAAGATTAGACATCACCAGAGTGAATTTGGGTGGCATTATAGCCGTTCGGTGTGAAATAGAGGAGGGTAATGGAGATTGGTATGTTCAATACCGCCTTGTCAGATTTAGTGACCCTGGATTTTGGTAGTTGAGAATAAACTGTCTAATATACAGTGTTGCCATGGATACTAGGAAATATCTGACCAAAGACATTTGACCATCTTATCCAAAGACACATCTACCTGACTCAAGACAATACAGGTGTAGTGACAGTAAATCGTCCATCAAAATGATTGAGGTAAGAAAGAATCACAGAGCAGAGGTGAAATGATCTTAATACATACAGACAGCTTGTTTTCCCACTAGTCTGACAGATTCTGCTTGTTTTTGCTGAAAACATGGCAAAGCAATACATTTGTCAAAACTCCACCATGTGTGACATTGATTTTCGGTTGTCTTACATTTACAGTAGCTCTCCACCATTGGCCTGTCCTTCTCACTGACAGGTTTAGCGTAATTGAGGGGGAAACTGTATGAACTCTCCCCCACTCAGTCAAGTGTTAAACCAGGGTGAGGTTTGATGAAATGCTGTGATTATCAGTAACAGTTCATCTTCTCCAGGCAGGCATATGCATTCCTAAAACTACAGCAGCACGTGTGTGTGTGTGTGTGTGTGTGTGTGTGTGTGTGTGACGGTTTGCTGATAGTGCTAAATGGGAACAGCAGATCGTCAATAACTTCTGATCAGCCTTTACATCTTCCCGCATGCGGCGTGGATCCCTGCAGTTTTGCATTCCAGCGGCGAACACTTCCGCACTGCATCACCCTGTAGGAAATTAACACCAGGCAATCCATCATTCCAAAAGAGAAAGATACACGTACACGCAGGTTAAAAATACACAGATCATGCAGATCAGGAATGAAGTTTACGGAGTCTCTGTTAGAGCAGTTAAATAAAAGTGGTTATGAAAAACAAACACACTAACAAAAACCCTCAAAATGAGCATTTGTAAAATGCATTTGAAAAATAGTTCCTTTAAATATAAATGTTGATATATACTCAACAACTGAGTTTTTAAATGACAGTATTTATTTACAAATGCAGTGAAATATAATGGACATTTAAGCATATGTTATATAAAAGTTGTAAATACCAAACACAAAATATTGTGACGTATATTATTGCAGCGGAGATATGTAAGGCAATAACAGGACATTAATGAAATGCATAATATAGAATAGGTTATTATAATAACACAACATACCAAAACACAACAACTTAAGCCACAGAGAAGACTGTACTTACACAAACACGATAAAAAAGCAACGATAAGTGAGAGTAATACAGTAGAGTCCTTATGAACACAAAAGTCAATAGGTCGTTTGACATATATTCCTTTTTAATATTACTGGCACCACTTTAAATGCAAAAGATGGCAATGCGGGTCAAAGGTCAGTCGTAGGAAAAATCTCATGTGGGAACTGCCGCGGAAAGTTAATTGTTCAGTCACGTCTCCTTGTATATGATATGCGTTTGGGAAGTGCACAGGATGTAGACTCTCTCTGAATCGGAGAATGAAATTCATGCCCATATATGTGGTGTTTATGGTTTCCTCTACTGTTGTTTTGTTTTCTCAGTAACAGTTCATCTTCTCCAGGCAGGCATATGCATTCCTAAAACTACAGCAGCACGTGTGTGTGTGTGTGTGTGACGGTTTGCTGATAGTGCTAAATGGGAACAGCAGATCGTCAATAACTTCTGATCAGCCTTTACATCTTCCCGCATGCGGCGTGGATCCCTGCAGTTTTGCATTCCAGCGGCGAACACTTCCGCACTGCATCACCCTGTAGGAAATTAACACCAGGCAATCCATCATTCCAAAAGAGAAAGATACACGTACACGCAGGTTAAAAATACACAGATCATGCAGATCAGGAATGAAGTTTACGGAGTCTCTGTTAGAGCAGTTAAATAAAAGTGGTTATGAAAAACAAACACACTAACAAAAACCCTCAAAATGAGCATTTGTAAAATGCATTTGAAAAATAGTTCCTTTAAATATAAATGTTGATATATACTCAACAACTGAGTTTTTAAATGACAGTATTTATTTACAAATGCAGTGAAATATAATGGACATTTATCCATGTTATATAAAAGTTGTCAAAGATCATATCAGTCACAATATATTGTCAAACATACAATGATTAGCAAATACACAGTCCGGTTGAGATGTATATTATTGCAGCAGAGATATTTAAGGCAATAACAGGACATTAATGAAATGCATAATATAGAATAGGTTATTATAATAACACAACATACCAAAACACAACAACTTAAGCCACAGAGAAGACTGTACTTACACAAACACGATAAAAAAGCAACGATAAGTGAGAGTAATACAGTAGAGTCCTTATGAACACAAAAGTCAATAGGTCGTTTGACATATATTCCTTTTTAATATTACTGGCACCACTTTAAATGCAAAAGATGGCAATGCGGGTCAAAGGTCAGTCGTAGGAAAAATCTCATGTGGGAACTGCCGCGGAAAGTTAATTGTTCAGTCACGTCTCCTTGTATATGATATGCGTTTGGGAAGTGCACAGGATGTAGACTCTCTCTGAATCGGAGAATGAAATTCATGCCCATATATGTGGTGTTTATGGTTTCCTCTACTGTTGTTTTGTTTTCCACATGTTTAGTAAGGGTAGTGTTTCTGTTTCTTCCCTGCGAAACATGCCATCCATGTGCACAACAGCATGGCCACCACAGCTCCAGCCCCGGTGCAGTAATAAGCCCATCCGATCTCACAAGAACCTGAAGGAAACATCAACCTCAACATTTAATACTATTTTGCTAATTTTTTATGTTCACACAATATATAATGTGAGGCACAATATATTGTTTATATTATATTTCCAGTCTGCCTACCTATTTAAAAAACAAAAATAAAATAATGGCACAGGAAGATATTTCATTATTTGTTATATTTGTGATATTTTACATTTAACTTTTATAAATAATATATATTTGATCATTTATTTGATAAAAAAAAAAAAAACTGTAAAACAGTGATTTGGAAATACTATTATTATTTAAATAATAACAATAACTGCAAATTTTATTACTATTTTATTAACAACAACAACTACAATAATAATAATGTTTTCTATTTGAATAAATTTAATAATATAATTTATTTCTGTGATATCACATGGTTCTTTAAAATATGCTGATTTGGTGCTCAAGAATCAATGTTGTGCTGCTTAACAGTTTTTGGAAAATTCTTTTGATAAATAGAAAGTGCAAAATAACAGCATTTATTTGATGTCCAAATTCTTTGTAACATTTCTTTACTGTCACTTTTGATCAATTTCATGTGTCCTTGTGGAATAAAAGTATTATGTTTTTAAAATAAATAAATAAATAACCCTTACTGACCCCAAACTTTTAAACAGTAGTGTATATAGATTGTACTAAGTCTCATAAAATGCATACTGATATGTAATATAATTATCTGTAAAATTTTCATATTTGTACATTCTTAGTTTGCGTTATAGCTGTAAAGTAAAATCTGAAATTGTCTATATACCAACGTACCAAGTTCGAACTGGTCAGAGCTGTTGCCGCAAGTCTGTCTGACCTCTTCACTGTCCCAGCCTAAAGGGTACAGGGCACATCCCGATCCGATCAGCAGCCCTGCAGAGAGATGAAACACACTGTGAATACAAATAGACCTAAAAGTACACTTTATAACATGACTAAAAGCTCCCATAGTTTCACGCTGTGTGAGGAGGAGAGCATGATATCTCTTGAAAAATAAACGATAGCCATGAAAAACAGCACTTCACGCATTTTGTCATTGGCCTGAAAAGCTATTATTTGTTTTACTGCAAACGGGGATGCAGGATCATTAGCTTGTTTTTTTTCCATTTGACACAGATACTCTATCACACGCACGCAAATGCAAACACACACCTCTGCAGAGACGATAAAGCACAAATCATGTTTTCATCTGGGCTCAAGATCCAAACAGCTATGAAAATATGCTAATAAATGCAGCAAGTAGCTTATTTATAAATGAGCTTCTTGGGAATTCTTTCATATTTTCCCTTTTATGTTCTTACCAATTCAGCAAAAATAAACAGGCGTGTAATTCCCACCAGAAACATATACAACCGTAGTTTCAATAATGCTCCTCCTCTCCTGTCAGCTCTAAATTCTTACCAGAACATTTCCTAATAAAAAAGAACTGCATGTGCCTTCATCTGCCCTGATGCTTTGCATTATGGTCACTAATGTCAGGCTCTTTTTTTCAGTGAATATTTAGTGATTATGAATTCTATATATTTATATATTCGAATTATTATTTATATAATATTATATAAATAATATAATATTTATATGAATATTATATAATATTATTATTTATATTATACATCAAATAAAATAAAATACTGGTCAAAAGTTTGGAATAATTAGGATTTTTAAAAAATGTTTTTGAAAGAAGTATCTTATGCTCACCAAAGCTGCATTTATTTGATCATACAGTGAACAGTAATATTGTGTAATATATTATTAAAATTTTAGTGCACATTCCTATGTGTATTATGTAATGCTTGGTTCTCTTTGTGTCTGGTTACAAATGATGGGTGTGTTATCATCTCAAGTTGTCTGTGTGCCGCGCAGTTGTTGTCTGAGATAATGAAAGGACAGAGGACTGAACACAAAGAACACTCCCTCACTGCCGCACAAGCTAAAGCCCAGTAACAGTTTATTTTTGGAATGATGTGCTTTCATTTGTACTTGTGTCACGGACATTCTATGATATATTAAAAAGCCTAGATTCCGGCATTAGTATCCCAATTCTGTACGCCTTGTCAGAAATTTCAATACTTCTCGTTGCCTTTAAAATTCTTCAAATGCCTCCTGTTCCCCCCATCAATTCAAGCAGGCCTGAAAATCCATTACATTGAGTCAGACACTTACAAAAATGCCATTCTACTTCAGAGCTCAAAACTGCAAAGGAATAAAATAAAGGGAAGAGAAATAAGCTTTTACGTGCTTATACTTTTGTTTCTCAGAGGCAATCAGAAAAGTTATGAATGAGTAATCGATAAGTTGATATTGGGCTAGTTATTATGTGTATGTGAGTGTGAAAAGAATGCAGAATTATTCTGAAATTGACTTCTACAGATTGCAGCCATAGCCTACTTATTTCACCCTGGCGTGTGGTCGAGCATGTGTGGTGAGGTTTGTAAAGTTGCGACTGCGAGTACAGCAGTTCTCCTTGACCAAGACAAAAAAGGACCATTGCGGTACTGTGAAACGGGGAGGGCCTTTTGTCACTAAAAAGGTGAGGGAAAATTGACAGTGATAAAGTGAATAAGAGGGAATAAGAGGCACACTCACACTCTGAAAAAAGTAGCTCTATGGGTTGCAACGGGCTTCTGGTAGAATGCAGCGCTGCGTTTTCAAAGTCATATTACCACTAGCATCAGGAAAGTTCTTAAACTGTTTGTAGCGCATATTCAGAGTATATTAATTAAACTGCACGCTAGTCGAAGTGTGTGCACTAAAATAAAAAAAATATGCTCTAGAAAACTACCATAATTTTCACTTTATAATATGTACTGCAAAACAGTATGCCCTATAAAACTAGAATGGACTAGGTATAATTCAATACATATAAATTGAATGAACTAGACGCTATGTATTACAAACCAAGTACGCACTAAATGTATCATATACTAGGTAGATTGCACAACAAAACTAGTGTGCATTGGCATTCACTACAAAAAAATGCACTACAGAACTAGCCTGAAAGAAACTATGCATTACAAAACAAGTATGCACTAAATGTAGCATATACTAGGCCGAGCAAACAACCAAACTAGTATACAATAGGTAGAATTCTCTACAAAAATTTACAAAACTAAAGACTGCATTACAAACCAAGTGTGCACTAATGTAGTATATACTATGTAGAGTGCACAACAAAACTAGTATGTACTAGGTGGCCTACAGTACACTACAAAATACTGTGTCAAAGATAAAAGTTGACGATTAGGAGTTGAGCATGTGAGTAATGTATATTACTGGACCTGAACAAACAGATTGAGCAGCACTAGAGCTCAGAATATGAGGAAACCAAAAGGAATTTTGCTTTGACTCGGAAAAATGAATCTAGGGAACAAAGCAAAAAAAAAAAAAAAACCAGCGGAAAGTTTGACTCGTTAGATAATGATCTCACGAAATGTGTGTGTTTACATCATATGTGTTTGAGTAACAGGACGAAAAGGGCATTGTGTGCGCTGGACAAAGTCTCTTGTGTGCAGCTGCTACATATTTAGAGGAAAAGACGCATCAATTTGAAACAGAGAAAAGTATGTGTGAGAGAGGCATAGGTGAACACAATTCAGCATAGGAGGCGCTATTTCTGAGCATTGCGTCTCTAAGGATTCTCATGTTGCTCATATATAGAGATCAAGCTCTAACCCGAAACTTTGAATTTAATAAATGAGAAGAATTTAAATATTTATTATAAATAATAAATATTTTTTTTCTAATACATTTTTAAAATTCCAAACTTCTAAATATCTCACAATGGATGCATTGTTATTTTAATTTAGTAACTGATAATAATACTAATTCTACTACTACTACTACTACTACTACTACTAATAATAATAATTTTCTATAAAAAAAAAAAAAATTCTAAACTTCCAATTTTAAAAATAGACATTATTATTAATTTAGTAACTTTTAGTAGTAAAAGAATTTGATAAAAATATTTAATAATAACAACAATAATAATAATAATTATTATTATTATAAATACACATATTTAATAAAAGAAATAGTAATTTAAATATGTAACAATATGAACTACATTAGCAATCTATAAATCAAACTAAGAATAAAATATACACAGAAAATTCACAGCATAAACTAATCTAAAAAATAATTGGGAGACTTAAAAAGGACGAGGGACTGCAACCCCTGATAGGGGAAAACAATGGAATCTGTTGTTTTCTATTGGTGAACACACACAGCTGTAGTTATTGTGTAACACAGCAGATGGTCCACTGTCAACACTATACAGTGCTCACACAGCCTGACAACACCTCAGGAAATGAGAGCGCCAAAACACAGTCTTCAGTGGAGACAGGACAGCTGAGACAACTGTCTTATCACTAAGAGCAACAGCTCTGATAGCTACTTACACAAGCTCTCTTCTGTGAGTGCACAGATAGGGCCTTCATACTGTATTTTACCAGAAACAACAGAAACCACTGTGGAGGAAGGGACAGTAGTGCAGTTGCAACCTTCAAGAGCTTGCATAATCTAAAAGGAATGACTTGAACTTCACATTTTACTTACAATCCAAAAGATCTGTTGCCAGGGACGAGTGGGTACTAGTCACTTATGGATTCAGTAAACATTCCAGCACACAACACTAAGACGTATCTCTTATCCTGACAGCCGACAACAGTCTCAAAACATTCCACTTTCATCTCCACTGCAATCAGTCATCCCATTCCTTCTGTCTATTCAAGTCTTAAGTGAGAAGAGAGGATACCACATCATAGGAATATGGAAATTAGGGTCTGCAGATTTGTAGTTGCATGGCATTTTCTATCACCACATTAATTTTCCATGACCCTTCCTGAGTTTGGGCCACAAAGGTCAACAGAACATGGAGAAAACAGGGAAAAATCACATTTCAAAAGTCCAATTCATGATTTTAAGAACCTTATATAAAATATAATAATAATTATTATTATTAGGGCTGGGTAAAAAATATCGATATCTCGATATTAATCGATTCTCAGTTTTATGGAACAATATCGATTCTTAAATCCCAAGAATCGATTAGTCTAGCCTGTTTTCAGTTAATGGACGGAACATTGAAGGGCACTTTCCATCCAATATATCTCAATAAACTTTGTACATTGGTACTTTTAATATGAAACAAAGTCTCAGATTT